TTATCTCGGTGTTTCTAATCTTGTCTCTTAGTAATATTCCAAGCATGATTCATTTCATTGCTCTTTGCGTTGTTTCTAATTTTTTAGCAGATTTTTTGGTAAGGGCTACTGTCTCCAAGCTGTAGGTACAAACTGGTAGTATCCATGTGTTATACACCTTTTTCTTTAAGTTTATAGGAATGGAGGTATTTTTCGATATGTGCTGGTTTGCCGAAAGCGCTCCATGCCAGTTGTGTTCTTTTAATTTCAGCATCTTGATTTGGTTTTCCTAGTTTGATAACATGACCTAGATATACATAATGTTCAACATTTTCTATGGTATGATTTTGAATTAATATATTTGTCTGGTCTCGCTCAGTATTTTTGTTTTGCTGTAATTCATTTTTAAGCCTACCGCTCCTGAAACAGCATTTAATTGTTGTAACATATCATTTAGTTCTTGGATATTATCGGCTATTAAAACTATATCATCTGCGAATCTCAAGTGGTTTAAGTATGATCTGTCGACGTTGATACCCTTACTGTTCCATTCCAGTTTCTTAAAAATATCTTCTAGAGCAAGGGTAAATAGTTTGAGAGAGATGGTGTCTCCTTGTCCTACACCCCGTTGAAGTCTTATAAGATTAGTTTTTGTGCTTTCGTCCAGCTTTATCTGCATGGTGGCATTTTCATATATGTTTTTAATTATGTTAGTGTATTTTGAATCTATGCGTGCATTTTCTAGAGATTCAAGCACTGCCCATAATTCGATGGAATCGAATGCTTTATGGAAATCGACGAACGCCATATGAATTGGAGCATTATACTCGGTGCATTTTTTTATCAGTGTTCTTACGGTGTGCAAGGTATGAACCCTGCGACTGTAAGAGAGATGATCGTGAAGATGACAGGAAGTAAGGAGGGATGGAATAGTGTTCACAATTATATTAGAATAGTAATTAAAAGAAAGAAGAAGAAGAGAAACACCAACTGGAAAATCGACAGAGCTAAGATCTAGATAAGAGAAGGGAGTATTCCAAAAATGTCGTCAGTCTGACAGCGGCCATCCCTCTTTCAGAGTACGGTACGTGCGACAGCCAACTGCGCACAAGGTGATTTTAGTTGGTAGTAACAGATACCTGAATCTTTGGCACTACTATCTTTAGTACTTTAAATTAAACTGAAACCCAAATTTTACGGACTCAAAATGGAAGTAGCATAAAAAAAAATTTGAGGGCCAACCAACTCTCTACCCCAAAGGAAAATTCTAGGTGCGCCACTGCCGTGATTTTAAAAAGATGATTTGAAAGTTCAAAAGTGGTTTTAAAAGGCCGTCGATTAAGTATTAGAACCATTATTATACATGTGCGGATTAATAGAAAAACTGTGAGACAAATTTTGCGTGAGGAAAATGTGTGATAAACGTATGCCTAAACTCCTAACGGCGGAGGGAGAAGACTCATAACTTGTGACAAAATATGGATTTTTTCATATAGCCCTGAAACCAAGCAGCAATTCATACAGTATTGGACTCTCGGAGAACTCTTCGGGAGTTAAACAAGCGAGGATGAGCTAGTCGAAATTTCGGGCGATGTTGATTGTTTTATTCGATAGGTCACATTCAATGGGTGTCACAGGCTCAGACAGTTCATCCATAGTACTATTTAGAGATTTTACAAAGACTTCTAGAAAAAATTCGCATGAAGAGAATGAAATGTGGAAAAAGAACTCCTGAATCCTCCATCACGACAACGCGCCGTTTGATGTCGCCAAACATCTTTACATATCTTATTTATACCGTTATGTATACCGTTTATTATCAAATACGCAGGACTGTTGTGCATTCCAAATATGAAATTTTTTATTTCATAACAATAAAAAGACCCTTTAAATACATATGTTATATAGAGTAGAACTAAATGCCCATGTTAAGGGAATTTTGAATTTATTGCTACAAAAATATATTTTTCATATATTTTTTAACACTATACCAATGTTTAGGTGTTCAAACATCGCTAGTTTTTTTATTGTTTGGCAATTATTTTTTTTTTCATATCGAATTTTTTTTTTTGAAACCCCTCAATCTGGGCATATTGCCAACCCCTGAAGGTAATATGCCCAGTCGAGTGAAGGTAATATGCGCTTACCTAAAACACTAAATGATGTGGAAATAAATATTAAAAAACATCATATAATTACAAAATCTTATATTTATTGACACTATAAAAAACATTTAACCAAACAAAGATATTAAACAATCCTTTTTGTAAAAACTAAAATGTCAAAATAAAGAATTTTTAACTGAAATAACTTAAAATTAAGGAACATTATTGTGGGGTACAATCAGGACAGGTAAAGGATTCCTTATCGAATTTTGTCAGCCCTACACATTCTTCATGAACGTACTGTACACATAGTCGCATGTCTTTTATTTCAGCTTTGTCGCAAATTTTGCAAAACCACTTTGCTACGTCTTCTGATTTTTTGTTTTTCTTTACCAAACAACCTGGTAGAGTTTGTTTCGTGCCTTTATTTATATCTGTTCGTGGACCTGTGCTAGTGGTAGAAAATACATTTTTTTTACCACTATAGCTCTGCTATTTATTGCCTTCTTTCTATTTTGTGTATTTTTTTTTTTCAACTTTTGCCGAAGTCTCAAGCATTTCCGTAAACGATGTGTCCAAAGTTTTGCCCTATCAAGTTTTTATTTCTTCAGTATTACTTTTTTCTTCTCGAAGATTGTTATTCTCTTTCTTATAAACCTCCAAATCATTTTTTTCAGAATTCATAAGGAAAGTTTCCTTTTTTTTATGAAACTGATTTATTGCCAATTCAACTTCTCCGCCGCTCTCTTCTGATTCCGAAGTATAACTGCCAGAACTCTCACTTGATGAAGTTTGTGTTTTAGACTTCTTTTTCATGTGAATTGGCGTCCTTTGGTATTGTGGCAAACAGTTTTGTTGGGAAGAGCTTTTTGAATAGCCTGCAGTTGGTGGTGGAGTTTTCTGGCGCAGATTAATGGGTCCGCTATCACTATCACTTGATGATGTTTCAGTTCTAGATTTCTTTTTTTTTTTGTAATCTTGGTCTTTTGATAGTTTGGTACCCTTTTTTGTTGAGAGGAGTTATATGAACAGCCTGGAGTAGGAGATGGTGTTTTCTGGCGTACATTAATGGGAGTAGGATCAATGTTCTCAATTTCTGATAAAATACTTGGGGCAAAAGCAACTTCAGGTATATCATCAGGGTTATAAGGAAATATTCCTGTTGCAGCAAAGCCTGATTTAATGTTAGAAGGTGTCAATGCCTTGTCCCACACTATCGAAAATATTTCCCCAAATCGCTGCTTTGTTAAAGCACGTTCTTTGTATTTGGTCCAATACAACAACACTTGTTCGTCCCAGTAGTGTTCAAAGGAACGAAACACAGCTTTGTCCATCGGCTGGAGTTCATGAGTTGTGTTGCTAGGCAAACACAGAAGGGTTATTTGATATTTCTCGGCAGCTTCGACAATTGAAATGTCTAAGTGACATGAGGCTCCATCAAATATTAAAAGACACTTTCCCTCCAATTTATATTTTGCTAAATGCTCCAACCAAATAATGAAGGTTTCCACATTCATACTGCCTTTAGGGGTCATCAACGCCAACGTGCCATTAGGCAAATTATTTTTCCATTCGGGCTTCATGCGCCGTCCTTTAAACAAAACGGCAGGAGGAATAGCGGTACCATTGGCGTTAGCACAGCTAACAATAGTTACATTTTCCCCATGTTCCGGAGCAACCAAATGTACGCGTTTCACGCCTTTCTTTGCTAGAACGGTCTGTTGATGATGCAGACTGAGTCTGCAGCCTTTCTCGTCCACATTGTAAATTCTTTCAGGTTTGTCGATTAAATCTAATTCTTGAAGTACACCCCTTAATTTGTCAAAATAGTCTTTTACTATGAACTTGTTCAATTTTTGAGCCCGAGCAGGATTCATATTTTGTGCTTTCCTTATCGATATTTCAGGGTGTCTTTGCAAAAATCCTTTTAACCAATAACGTCCAGCCATTTTGGTTTTTTGTAAAAAAAAGTGTGGCAAATTGTTTTGTTCACAATAAGTAAACACACATTTTTTTAAAGTTTTATTGCTGAGGGGATACCCAACTTCTGCTAATCTAACAATTCGTCGAGACAATTCGTTTTCTTGATCTATATTCAAAATAGTCTTTCTCCCCATTTTTGCCTTTTTGGTACTATTTTTTTCTACATAGCGTTTCAAAGTGCGTCTAGAAATATTATACCTTTGACTTGCCGCATTGTATGACATTCCATTCATTACTGCTGCAATGACGGATTCTAGCTGTTGATTGCTCCATGGCGACCGTATTTCCTTATTTCTGACACGAGGCATGTTATCTAAAACAAAAAAAAATCAATAAATTATCTGTTATAATTAGCTGGCAATATGCCCAATTGAGCAAATTGTCAGCATACACTATGGGCATATTGTTGACACATGATGATTAATACATTTTCTTAAATTATAAAAACATTTTGAATAATAATATATTTTATTTTTACTTACATTTTAAGTACTCTATGGCAGACTAAAATCACCTAATGTCGTAGACAAATTAAAACGTTTAAGTGCAAAACAGAGGTGAAAACTGACGTCAATTTTTATAAACACGCTCTTATAAACCACGTACAACTTGACCACACCACGGCAAGCTCACAACTAACCTTGAGGTCGGTCACGGGCTTAGTTATATTAGGCGTTCAGTGTGTCCAGCGCCTCCTTCCCCGAATATCAAATATTAAAGCAAAACATGGAAATGGGCATATTACCAACATGGGCATATTGTATTCAGGTACCTTATATATAATTTATAGTATGCAAAGGAAACTTCCTAAATATTTTGGATACTTAACGATGATTTATCAGTCTGCGTAATTTTTACGACTTTCCTATTTTACGGAAAATTGACATTCCTAAATGAAAACCGTTAAATTTAACTAAAATTAATTATTTTTAGGGTTGCCCAAGCACAATTAATGGGAACCTTGTCAATTGCTAATTCTCTCGCATTTACACCTAATTTAAATCGAGGTATAAATGCTGCGAAGAGGATAAAGACTTTCCTATCCAGAATTCCGCTTATTGGAGACGGTCCAAGTTCAAAATCAGTGGACCAGGTAAGTAGTTAAAACAAACTTACTTATTTATACAAGTACTAACGGAAGTATACTATTCAGAAAATGAATAGTGTGTTAACTGATTATTTTTTATCTATCTTCTTTTTCTTCTTTTTATATACAGGGTGGCCCTTAAGTAATTGTACAAAAAGAAACCGCAGAATCTATACTTTAAAATATTACGATTTAAGCCAATTTACTTTAATAAAATGTTGATATTAAAAAAGATACAGGGTGTTAAAGTGGAAATTTAAAATTTTATTTTTCGCTATAACTTTCATGTTTGTAAACATTTATGTATAAAAATTTACAGCTGGGTACTATTTAATATCAGGAATTATAATTTGATGCATACTTTGATATAGCTAATAGAGGGCGCCACATATGCCACATATGTGGCATACATTTGCACTTAACTTTTTTGTTCTTCAAGTTACCGGTATTTGTGATAAAAAATATTAAAGATAGCACTGGTGTTCATTTTTCATGATCGTTTCTTCCACCTTCATGCTGCATTTTCTAATTACAGTTTCTAACACTAAGTTGAATAATGTAGTGGATAAAGGATTTCCCTGTCTCAAGCCTTTTGCAACAGTAAATTGATCTGATATGTGACCCTACCAAGCAATTTCAAACATAGAGTTATTAAGTGTCATTTTAACTAGCCGAATCAGTTTCTTTGGTATATCCAAATGTTCCATTGCTCGATACATTTTGACTCTATGGACTCTCTCATATGCTTGTCTAAAATCCACAAACAAAACATGCAGGGGAACTTTACCTTCATAACAAGTCGTTTGTATCTCCTTTATCTCTTCCTCCTCAATATTTATTTCTTCGTTTGTCGTCAGCTCTGGTGTTGGTGGTTTATTATCGTCACCTTTAGCAAATAGGGATTCAAAGTAGTCTACCCATGTTTTCTGCTGAATGTGTTTCATGTTTATTAGTTTGTAGATCTCTTTTCTATGTCCTCTGATCATTCTCCATATTTCTTTTTGTGTTTCGTAGAAGTCGTGTTCCATCTGTTTTGAGAAACTCCAGTGTTCCTTTTTTATTTGTCTAACTAAAGTATACGTTTCATTTCTGATTCGTTTATAGTGGCTGTATGCCTGTTGTGTTTGTTGTGTTCTGTATTGTAAAAAGGCTTTCTTCTTTTCTCCACATTTTGTCTTCGCTTCCTCTTTAAACCATGGTGTTTTCTTTTTTGATATGTTAGTGTTCGTTACTTTCCTCTCTTCAAGGGATTCTTTTGCTGCGTTAATTATGTTATTTTTGAGTTTTTCCCAGCTTTCCTTGATATTATCGTTTTCTAATATTTCATTAGAAAACGATAACATTGAGGAAAGCTAGGAAAAACATAAAAATCTATCAAATGATCTGTCTTGTATATTATTAAGCACATTATAAAATTTGTTCATTTTCAGGTTGACGGTAATATAAGTTATTCAAACGTAGAGTTTTTCTATCCAACAAGAAAAAATATTCAAGTACTGCGTGGTCTGAGTATAAATATTCCAAAAGGAAATACTGTAGCTCTTGTTGGAGAAAGTGGATGTGGTAAATCCACTATTATACAACTGATAGAACGATTTTATGATCCATCTTCTGGAGATATCAATTTAGATGAACAAAATATTAAACATATAACGTTAAGTTCGTTAAGATCTCACTTAGGAATAGTGCCACAAGAACCAAATTTATTTAATAAATCAATCGCTGAAAACATTGCCTATGGAGACAACACTAGAAGCGTTCCCATGGATGAAATTATTCAGGCTGCAAAGGACGCAAACATTCATAATTTTATAGTTGGATTACCTAATGTAAGTAGTTTAAATAAAATTAAACAATATGTATTTCAACAATATACAGTGTAGGAAAAAGTTTATGGTCGGTATAGACCTTACGTGAGATGGAGTGAGAAACAGCTGTTTAGAAAGAGAGGGTATATTAGGTCCGCCCTTTATATCGCCAAACATGCAAGCGTGGAAATATAAAAAAAGGGGAAGTTCAACGTTGCCAAACTTATTGGTTTTATTTGACCTGTTGTCTTTTTTGCATTTGAACAATGTTCTTAGATAAACAAATTTGGGTGAAATTGATTTAAATGGCAGCTTACTGTTTTTTATTGGGAATATGCCACAAGTTTACTTTACAATAAGTGTAATATAACATTTTGATTTCCACTTCGGAAATCGTTTTATATAAATAAAATTTATGAATGTTTCGTATTTTAAGTACGGTTTCCGAATTAAAAATCTAAACATCAAAATAAGCTTATTTTAAAGTCACATTGTGCCTTATTCCCAATATGAAATAATAAACTGCATACAATAACGCCACATTAAAAAATTTTCATGCACAATAATTATTTGGCAACGTCCGCGTCCGTCCGTCTCGTGAAAAACACCGAGTAATGAGTAGTAGAGGTGGGTCGTGGTAGTTTTATCGTTAAGAGCGTAGGCACAAAATTTCGGGCCAATATTTTTTAATTGCATTCATTTTTTTTTCGAATCCTGAGAAAACTAATAAATATTTTTAAAAAATTTAAACACAGAATGAAACAATACATTATTACCGAAAGTCCCTGAAAACTTCTATAATGTTTATTTTAATAAGTTATAGGGGTATATATCTCATTCAAAAAACTTTTTGTTTATTCTAAGGGACTTTCGGCCCTCGGTAATACTGTAATCTTTCATTCTGCATTTAAATTTTTCAAACATATTTGTTAGTTTTCTCAGGATTCCAAAAAAAAATGAATGAATTTAAAAATTTAAATTTTTGTAAACAAGTAATATGATTGTTTAAAAGTAGTTTCAAGTAAAAGAGTACCTACATAAACAAACATAATGGCTATTATCGTTTATGTGTATATTTATTGAAGTGAAAGAAACTAATGATATATTTATTATAGCTTGAAAAATAAACTAAACAATACAAATAGTAAATCGTACTTACATTTACATTACACGTTATTATTAAATCGCGAATAGTCTAAATTGACATTAAAAAACATAAGTTTTCTACTTTACTTCTTATTAACCGTCTTCTTTTTTTTATTTACATAAACATACAATACTTTATGAATATAGTGGTTAAGTTAGGATATACATGGAGATGGTTTTTCCACCGTTGTAATGGACTCTCGATACAGGTGTACGTGTAGATGAGCCATCTCCAATTAATTGATCAAAAATACACCATGGATTGAAGTCATCTTTATTGGTTTTTTTTCTTGTACTGGTTGATTTTCAATAGCACAATCTTCTTGTTCGTTAATTATAGAAGTAACCAGCTTCTTAACTTTTTCTTTTATTTTTTATCTTCAATTTTATTAGAAAAACCCTGCACTTTAAATGATGAATCCATAAATGTACATAATGACAATGTGCCACTCTGTTCTATTTCTATAAATCTTTTTGCTAAACACGATATTAGTAATTGTACTACATCGGATACTATGGATGTATGGTTACCGTTTGCTAAAATTTTATTGTAAGATTCTTGCAGGCAGCGTACCATAACAATCACTGAACTACTTCAAGTATTTTTGGTCACTCATTGTACTTGTTATTTCTTGGCGTAAAATTTGGGAAAGCTGAGAACAAATAATCTAGTGTTCTTTATTTAGATTTGGTCTAAGTCTGTATTATTTAATACCGATGTGGAACGGATTGCCTCTTCTAACTCGGTCATTCTTTTTAACATATAATAGGTGAAGTTCTACCTAGTTTCCACGTCTTGGATTGGCCGTTTGGGAACTTTGTTATGTTGTAATTAATACTTTAAAAGCCTTTCTGAAGATAAGGTACTTTTTTTTAAATGTGTTTTTTGCAGAATTGTCGAAAAAAGGACTTTTTATTTTATCTATTATCAAATCAGTTTTGACATAACATTCCTGAAGTAATGAACCTGACAGTTTTTCTTGTTGGTGGTTTATATCCAGGAATCCACCCTGCAAACTTTTTAAAAGCTTGTTCTTCACCTATGGAAAACGGATGAAACGAGTCTTTGCATAAGTTTAGTAAATCTTGAAAATCAACCAGTACAAGAAAAAGAAACTGATAAAGATGACTTAAGCCATGGTGTATTTTTGATGAATTAATTAGACATGACTCATCTAAACATACACCTATATCGAGAGATATAAAAGAAGACGACATGTATTTGTCTGATGATATATTACCCACAAAAAATTTCTAACGGAGATTAGAACTGTCCATTACCGTGGTGGAAACACCATCGCCATGTATATCCTAACTTAACCGCTATATTCATAAAATATTGTAACAAAATCTTTTCCTTGTAAACACATGTTTAAAATCTGGTTTAATTTTAAAGAAAAGAAGAACACGGTTAACAAGAAAAGTGGAAAAACTTGTTTTTAAATGTCAATTTAGACGATTCGCGATTTAATAATGTGTAATGTAAATGTAAGTACTATTTGTATTGTTTAATTTATTTTTCAAGTTATAATAAATATATCCTTCGTTAGGTTCTTTCACTTCAATACTTATACACATAAACGATAATAGCCAATATGTTTGTGTACTCGCTAATTTGAATACTGGTAAACAATCAACTCGTTACAGTTTACGAAAAACGGTTCCGATAAAAATTTAAAAAACGAGAGGACCCACCTCTAGTTTTTTAGGTATATTAGGATCGGAACCAGAGAATATGTAAAATATCTCTTATCGGAACTATTCGTCTCACTAATGAGCAATGAGTGTTAAAAATATTTATGGAGGGGAGACCAAGGCGAAATATGATTGTTATCTTTGTCTATTCGCTGAAAATATGACTTTATATCTGCGTTAGATATCCTGTTAAATTTTACCATACCGACCATAAACTTTTTCCTACACTGTATATAACAACTCATTTAAAAACAAATAGTTAGTTGTTTGCGTTATAGTAGAGAAGAGAGTAGTAAAAAAGAGAGACTTTGGTAGAAAAATGTCTTAGGATTAAGTGGCAGTTGCAAGGTCAGTGGAAGAACATGAGCTATGTAGTAAGAGTTTTAAAATCGATTATGACAGCCTCTAATTCCACAACTTATCATCGAATTAAAGCTTAACGCGTCTTCGATAGTTTAACTAGTATGTGTACAGTAAAACCTCCCTTAACCGAAATTTTTTCAACCGAAACATCGTTTAACCGAAACGGCTGACAGTTTCAATAGTTTCGTCAACAAAAAGTAAATTTTTATCGCAAAACGTAAACAATTCCCTTAATTTTACTCACCAATTGATGCCCATGTGTGTTGGGAAATTAAAAAACCAAGAGTTCTAAAAGATATTTGAGAAAAAGCACTTCCAGTTTTTTATAGAAGCCAAAAAAACGTCGATCACTTTATTTTCAGAATGGTTCGAAAATGAATTCGTCATAAGTGTAAAATCTTCTTTAAAATAAAAAAACCTTCCCATCAAAGCATTGTTGCTTGTTGACAATGCGCCAACTCACCCCCAAAATCTACACAATAGTGACAATTGTCAGATTTTTGCCACCGAATATCATTCGCTTAATTTAGCTGTTGGACCAGGGAGTAATAGAGACATTCAAGAGACATTATAGAGGAGCATTCTTAAGACATCTGTTATTAAAGGAGACGAATGAATCCAAAAGTGTTCCCGAAATTCTCAAATCTTCAACAATGAAACATGTTGTTTATCGGTGTGCTGAGTTCTGCACCAAGATCAAATCTTCAACTTTGGAAAAATGCTGGAACTAATTTTTTGATGAGATTTTGACTGACGATCCTGAACAAGAAAATGATAAAGAAACGACAGAAGAAATTAAACATTTAATAAAAAATTTGCCGGGATGTGACGAAATTAACCAAGAAGAGATACGTGAGTGGTTAGCAGCCGATGACTCAGAAAGTGAATTCATCGACCAGGAAATCATTGATATGGTTTTTCATCCAGATAACCTGAGCGTATCAGACGACGAAGATGACGACCCAACAGACAACAGGCAGCATGAGACCGCCGACGAGATTTTGAATGCCTTAAAGATGAGAATTTTATACAGTAGACCTAATTATTTAGGGACACGACTAGGTTCTTAATTTTTGTTGTCATTGTATAAAGTTTTTTCTTTTTCAGATCGCTTTACGTTTACGTTTTGTCGAACGATCGAATGAGGCGAACTCACGACGTTCTGATGAACTATGGAGATATATAGCTGCAAAACATCGTTGTCAAACGAAAACGCAGAAGAAAATAGAAGATTTCTTTAAAAAATCATGTTAAACTTGTTCATTTTCCTTACTTTTATTACTTTATTCTGTATTTATTAATTAGAAAACATTACGAAATTACCTCATAGTATTTTTTAATACCAATACTTTGACCAAGAATACTATAAAAACAATGTTGTTTTTAACCGAAATTCTTGTTATCCGAAACGGCCTCCCCCCATAATTATTTCGGTTAACGGAGCTTTTACTGTATAATGTAATAATAAAAAATTTTTTTAGGGGTACAATACGGAATTAGGGGAAAAAGCCACTCAATTATCGGGTGGCCAAAAGCAAAGGATTGCTATTGCACGTGCGCTGGTACAAAATCCGAAGATTCTACTGTTGGATGAAGCTACATCTGCTTTAGACACAGAAAGTGAAAAGGTTTGTAAATAAAACATTTTCTTTATGTTTTATATCTATTTTTATTGATTACTCTACTTTACAGGGATAAAGAAGCGCAATATATATGATGACGCGTCCTGTTGTATATTATTGTATCTATATTACATATAGAATTAGTTCTGTTATTAACTGTAATAGATTAGTAAAATATTCAGATAATATAATCGATGATTATCAAAATTGGATTCAGGCCAAATAGAGCCCCCTTAGACAATAAAATCATAAAAAGCTTATGAATACGACATCTTCTTCTTAAAGTTCCATCTCCTGTCGGAGGTTGGATATCATAACGGCTGTGGTCACTTTGTTGGCTGCTGTTCTGAAAAGTTGTAGTGAACTACAGTTAAACCATCCTCTAAGGTTCCTCAGCTAAGAGATGCGTCTTCTTTCTATGCTTCTTCTTCCTTGGATCCTTCCTTGCATAATAATTCTCAGCAGCTCATATTTTTCTCCTCTGGTTATGTGACCCAAATACTCTAGTTTTCTTCTTTTTATGGTGTTCATAATTTCTAACTCCTTATTTAGACGTGGTAGTACCTCAGCATTGGTAATCCTTTGAACCCACTGAATTTTTAACATTCTTCTGTAACACCACATTTCAGAGCCCTCAATCTAAGATGCAACTGAAGGTCTCTGTTGGCAAGCATTGTCTTCATTTTCACAAATGCTTGCCTTGCAGTTTCAATTCGGACTTTGATTTCTCTGCTTTGGTCATTTTTGTCATCAACTCAGGTTCCCAGATATTTGTATGTCTCTACTTTTTCTATTTGGGTTTACTCTATCATTAATCTTTCATTTCCATGTTGCGTTTTTGAGACAATCATAAATTTAGTTTTTCTTTTATTTATTTTTAGTCAGTATCTAATGCGATAATCGTTAATTCTATTTACCAATTCTTGTAGCGAATCCAGGGTGTCTGCCATTATAACGGTGTCATCAACGAATCTTATGTTATTTACTATTCTTCCGTTTACAGAGATTCCATCACCCAGATCCGCTATCGCTTCCTGGAATATGGCTTCACTGTACACGTTAAACAGTAAAGGTGACAGAACACAGTCCTGTCTTACTCCTCTCTTTATATCTATATTTTCGGACTTTTGTTCTTCTATCTTTATATTGGCCTTTTGATTCCAATACAAATTGATAATGATTCGTAAGTCTCGTCTTTCTATATCTTTTTTTCTCAGTATTTCTATTAGTTTTTCATGTCGGCCCTGTCGAATGCCTTCTCGAAGTCGATGAAACGGGAATAAATATCTAGGTTCATATATCTAAGCATCTTTGAGAGAGGACATTAAAAGCAAACAATGCCTCTCTCATTTCCAGTCCCTTGCGGAACCCAAACTGAGTGTCATCCATATCCTCTTCTAGTTTTCTATATAATCTTCCATGAATCACCTTTAGAAATATTTTGAGGGTATGGCTTATTAGTGATATTGTCCTATAGTCTGAACAATCTTTGGCTTATACTGTTTTTGGTATTGCTACAAAGGTAGACACCAACCATTTCTGTGGGATTTTTCCAGTTTTATATACTTCATTAAATAGGTCCAGAAGTACAGTTAGAGAATACGACATACAAAGAGAAACAAAGTGCTGGAATATACTAGAAACCTGGGAATATCTATCAGATATTAAGCCTCATAAAAATGATGTTGCAAGGTTCAAAAACTATAGCAAGAGTAGATAGACAACTGACGTCCCTCTTTAAGAACCATACTGTTCAACCTAGTTATTGAGGCAATCATTAGAAAAACCAATGTAACCACTACAAATTACTGTATACTCAGATTATGTAGCTATCATTAGCAGAAGCAAGGAAGGACTAATGAAAGAAGAAGAAGCATTAGAATCAGAAGAAAATACGAGTGAGTTGAATATACGGCACGATATTGTACGATTTGTAAAAAATCAGAGGATGTCATGTCTGGGACATTTTTAGTAACAAGAAGATATAAAAGCAACAAAGAAAGCCGATAGGAAGACGAAAAAACGAAAGGCCCAGAACGAGATGACTAGAATAGATGATGTTGGATGATCTAAAAACTATTAATATAAGACAATGGAGAAGAAGGGTTGAATGAGAGGTGTGAATGAAATGATATAGTCAGACAGGCATAGACCCATCTGGGCTCCAAAGAAGAAGAAGTCTGCATTACATATCTTTTTTATTTCAAAAATAACGTGCTGAAAGATATTAACTGTACTATTAAAAATATGGTTCTGACCATATTAATTGTTCCTGCTTTTCTTAAGAATTTAAAATGTTTACCAACGATGAAGATACAAATAGTAAAATTAAAATCGAAAAAGAAAACTGATGGTAATCGACATCAATAAATTAACATATGATCATTCATGAATGAGATCCAAACCCAGAAGTAAATACTGAGGAATCTAGACACCAAAGCAAACTACACTGCAAAAACCTCAGAGAATAAAAGGAGAGCTATTAAAAGAAAGTAAAAAACGTAACTTAACTATACTTCCAACAGGACAGAAGAGATAATAAATATGATAGATGAATAGCGAAAATATAGTGGAGATAACGAAGTAGTGTACAGCCAATCCATGAGAAAAAAAGAAGAAGCAGCTTATCCAGACTCCGCTAGACGATAATAAATATAAATTCAAATTGAATCCAATTTCAAATGATTAAAGGCATAGATCACGCAGAAAGAGAGAAACACATAAAACAAAAGGAAGACAATCATAAATAAATATTTCTGACTTATTTGTCTTTTTCACTATGGTCGACTCTTTTTTTTTAATGGTGATTTGTTAGCAACAAACTAAACATCAGTATACTGGTAGAGATGTACAATTAATTCACTTGATTTTAACTTTTTTCAGGTAGTACAGGCAGCTCTCGATGAAGCTAAAAAGGGAAGAACATGCATCACAATAGCACACAGACTCACGACCATTCAAGATGCAGATTTAATATACGTTATCGATAAAGGAGTCGTTGTTGAATCGGGAACCCACAGGGAGTTATTAAACAAAAATGGTGCTTATTATAAATTGTATACTCAAAAACATTAGGATATTAAATAAAATAAAGTTCATACGAATCTTTTATTACGAAGACTTGGATTATTTTAAAGATAAAACTCACAGAACAAAGATCTACGTATTAGGTCACTTTAGCCCTTATTCGAGCAACACATTTTACTTAAGTAACCGGGCAACTCGGGTCCATTGGGTCCACCACTGTTCTTGAATGTACTATTCATACTTACCCATATATTTCTAATATTCGTTTTTGATATTTAGATTTGATATTTTTGATATTAAGAATAAATTTAAATTGTCTAGATTAAAAAAAAAGGTGCTACTATAGTATGCGGTCTACCTCGAGGGTGCGATCTACCTGAAGGATTTGCAGAAATTAATCAAATGCAAGAAAATGTTTGTAGAAAAAATATTTATTCACAAGTACAATTTGTCAAACATAGGAAGAACTTTGAAAATCTTACAATCGCCACGCCCACGTGATGCGCACTAAATTTATCGGAAATATGCCAGTCGCAGTCAACAATTCAACGTGTACAGTTCGGTCGGTACAGTCTGCGACAGAGTTTTCTTAAAGAACAGTGCGTCCCAGTGACGTAACATGGAATTTAAATCAAAATTAAATCGAAAAGTTTTGTCCGGTCAAAGCCGAGAAATTATAGCAAATGAGAAGAGTTGCCAGAGACAGGGGCGAATGGAGGATTGTTCTGAAGAAGGCTTTGGCTCATAAAGAGCTGTAACGCCACTGATAATGATGATTTTATTGACAGCAGCTCGATGTAATGATGTAATCGATTTTTCGTACCATTGTCTTATATTTTTCAGCCATGATGTTTTTCTTCTACCAGGATCACGTTTTCCTAGGATCTTTCGCTAAATGATTAGATGCAAAAGTTCATACTTCTCAGAGTGTCTTATAATATGACCGAAATATTCCAGCTTTCATCTCTTTATTAGACTGACCAGTCATGTTGTTTAATTCAGCTGCCTGATTTCTAACTCTGTCGACCCAGCTTATTCTTAGTAGTCGTCTGTATGCCCAAATCTCGAAGGCTTCCAAGCGTTTAAGCATAGCCTCACTTATAGTACACCCTTCCACTCTATACAGTAGCACTGGTAAGATATAGCAATATGTCATTCCTACGCGAAGGTCAATACTAAAATCGTGGCTGCTTATCTGTATGGGTTCTGTATGTAACAAGGCTTCTCTCATACCCAAGCCTCTTCTAAATCCGAATTGAAAATTACTAATTCTCTCCTCTAATATCGTGTATACTCTGCTGTGTATTCGTTATGTATGTATACATCATATCAGACTGATTGTCCAATAAACACTGTATGTCTTTGCACGATGTTGTTTTTCTCCTAAAAACTTTCAGCACTTACTTTATCGGGGACAAGTGCTTTTCCATTTTTTGCTGTGTGTATTGCCAATAACCTCACTTTCTGTTATAGATAGACCTGCTATAGCAATCGGTGTATATTGTTCAATTTTTTTTCTTGCACTTGATGATTAATAATGTCCCTCTTATTTGGAAAAGATTCGGGTACAAGTTCCAAAAACAATCAAAACTCAAACAGCAACAACCAACCAGCTGGGATGGGATCTAACAGCAACAACCACCCATCTGCGATGGGATCTAACAGCAATAACCAACCATCTGGGATGGGATCTACATGTGATTAGTTGGTTTTGCTGTTATAGTTATATGGAGAATATTCTTCCCCGATTCTGATACCGTTCATCGCATTCGATATAGACCTAGATTCTTGGTGGGTGGACGTAGGCTACAAGAGAACAGAAAAAACCTTTTTATTCTATGTTCTTGTACTTAAAATAGTTTTTGTTTTAGTAACAAAAACTAAAATATATTTGCCATTAAGTGACCTTGGCTCAAATATTGAGTGTTGGGTATTATACTGGAATATAATAATATGTATATAAAAAAATGGGAATGATTGTGGAATATTTCTAATAGTTGAGAAGATTTAGATCTTGAAACTGGCAAATTCAAATGAAAGATATTTGGAGTTACCAGAACTTGTTGGAAGTTTTATCTTTCATAAAACAAGGTAGCTTCTTAAATACACAAAAACTAAATTCCTTTTAAATAACCAAAAATAAACTCTTCGCCTTTCCCAAGAAAAAATAAAATAACTTAAAATTGTTTCCTTCTTCCTTCCAAGTTCTGCCTGCCGCACTTATCAACCTGTCTCCAGGAAGTTCTGTTCTAAAATGAACTAATGAACATGGCCACTGGCCAGTATTCGTTATCCCTTTAATGACAATAGGAATCGATTTTATTGTAAATCGATATATGAAATTGTGTTGCCTAATTTGCAGCGCAAATTAGTAGTTATTGTAGGTAACGATCGTATCGTTACATGAGGATCTGAAGATACCATGGAGAGACAAAGTCGCCCATGAAGAAGTACTACGGAAGATGAACACAACCGCGGATTTGGTCAAAATCGTGAAGGGCCGTAAACTGCAGTGCTTGTGACATATAATGAGAAATGAAGGCAGATATGAGCTACTTCAATGCATTTTGCAAGGTAAAATTGAAGGAAAAAGGCCCCGGAACGAAGAAGAATATACTGGCTTGCTAACCTGACAGCATGGTATAGAAAGACCTCAACACAGCTATTCCGTATAGCAACCAACAAAGTCATCAAAGCCAGAATGATTGCCAACGTTCGGCATGGACAGGCACCCTAAGAAGAACAAGTATTTCTGTTCATTTCTCATAACACGATCAAAGTATTTTAATGTGCGCTCTTTGATTGTGTTAATAATCTCACGTTCCTTGCCGATTTTGCGTAGGACCCATGAAATTCTTAAGATGCATGAACACTACGTCTCTAATGCCTCGAGTTCTCCTAAAGAAGCTTTAGAAATTGTCCAAGCCTCTGCTCTGTATAATAACGTAGAAAACATAGCATCTGATGATAACGATTTTGGTACCAATAGGTAAATCGTGACTTTTGAACTCTGTCAATTGTCGGTTGGTTAATACACTCCATATTCTCTACGTATACCTGTTATGCTCGGCATCGGCATTATTGTTTGTAAACCATCCAAGTTAGCTGCAAACACATATCTAATGTTTAGACGCGCAACGATGACTAATACGCCTTCCTGTAGTTTTCCCAGTGCTTGCTCGAAAATAATGTTTAGAGTAAATATTAAATAACATCGGGGACAGAATTCATGCTTCTCTCACTTTCTATCTGAACTTTCTTGAGGACGTGTAAATACGTTTTAACAGCTTTTTCTAAAGCTGTCCGAAAAGCTTTAAAATAAAGAATATTGTCATTTTTCAGTGTAGATAAGGAACTAAGGTGAGGCCACCAAGCACATCACATAGCTTTATCTAAGGTTTATTTGTATTTAGAATTTAAATTGTTCTTTTTTAAACATTAACTCGGTATCATTCTCTTTTGGTTTTATCCCTATACTAACTAAGCTACTTTTTAAAACATTGAATTATGTTGTGTAAATTATTGTCTTAAAAAATATTCTGTGTACATTTGGTTATGTAGCCACTACCGCTATTTTTAGTAACAGGAATTTGCTAGATTGCAATGACTCACTTTATTTACAAACGAGTGGTTTGTTTTTATCAATCTTTATTTTATTCGAAACTATGTTGCCAGATCGGTTACAAATCTTTATACAAATTTCTACTGAAAAAGCTTAATATTTATTATGACCAAAAATAATTTAAGTTAAGTAATGTCTAACCGTTTCTAACTGATATACCCACTATATTATTTATCTATGGAAATATCCCCCATTAATCAATGGCTTTTGTTGATTTTTACCGTATGACAGTTTTAAAACAGACATAAGTAATGCACCCAATGTCTTAAAAACTTAGTTTCTTATTGTAATTTGTAATAATAAAGCAAAACAATGAAAATAAAATGGCATAGTTTATTTCACGAAAAATGGTTGAGTGCTTAATGATTGCAATAAAGCCTGACCGCAAGTACCCCAGCTTAGTCAACATTAGTTGAGCAGGTAATTACCTATTCAGGTAAAATTGAAGCTACTGTGGAGTGTCGTTATCTTTTTTGTATCATAAATTCCTGGTAATATAAAAACGATTAAAAAATCGTATAAAATTATAAAAACGATTAGAATAGGTACATTTTATTTCATAAAGTTGTAAACATTTTAACAGTGAGTTTCACTATCAATGGTTGATCTTTTAATGACCGCAATAAATTTGTTGTTCGTTAAGTATTTCCTGGAATAATTATACAAGTTCCTTCTATTCCGTATAATTTGTAAAAGAGTATAAAACCGATGAGAAATTTTTAATACATTTTGTTTCATTTACTTGAAAGTGTTACAAGTTTTACCAGTGTTATACCTATTTCTACCTATAAAACAGCATTATGTGGCGTCCGTGGAAAAACATTGATAATGCTTCTTCCAGTGTTCCAGCAAAGAAAAAGCATTTATCTGCTGACGCTAGAGAAATCGTAAAAACAATATATAGTTCTTTACTTACAAGAGGACTTACTGCTAATACTACTGCCAGTGAAACATCTGATTTAACGAAAAAAGCTCTAACCACAGTGAAAAGAATTACATCAAATCCCATTAGGTCAAGAAGGAAGCGTAAGGATGCCGGTTCTACCAAATGTCTTGACGAAAATGATAAAGACTTAATAAGACGAAAAATGTACACAATGTACGAAGATCAACGGATACCTACATTAGATGCTTTAAAACAACGGCTTACTAATGATGATACACAAATAAACTGTAGCCGCATTAGTCTTTGGAGGATTTTGTCTAAAATGGGCTTCAGATATCGTACAATTGACAAAAGGCAAGTGCTTATGAAGTCCCATCGTTTACCAAAGTGGCGTACTAAATATATAACTTCCATAAGAAAGTACCGTACAGAAGATCGACCCATTAATTTATCTGGACGAGAAATGGTTTGACACTCATGAAACACCATCCGAAGGATGGTCCGATTCTTCCAACAGGTGTCAAACAAAAGCTCCATCAAACAAAGGGAAAAAGTAACAATTT